CCTTCCGGTCCATGCATTTCCTGATTCTCATGCATGGCTTGGTCCGGGTGGACCTCCACCTCTAGCATTGCCTTTTGCTCTTCTGAGGATTTTGACTCCTGGTTTCAACCATTCTGCCTGAAACCGTCTCCCCTTTGTCGGTCTGTGTCGGGTTCGTGTTATCCTTTCCACAAAAGGGTCGTTCATTGTTTTTCTTTGCTTCTCTGGTATGAATTTTCTAGAGCTTTCACTTAGTTTAGGTATCTTTGACTTGTCTAGACTCATTTTCAATTTATCACTTCTTACTGCCTATACACTCAATTCGATTGCTATTGTCGTTATAGTTTTACTAATGATAATAATAACACAACGCAATAAATTTCAAAAATTTATATTAAGTAGTGACCACGAATCTTTGTATGTTATCAGTGTACAGCGTGTATACAACTTATTCACAATTATCAATTGTTAGTCGTAAGATTTGAGAACTAGCACAGTATGATGATATCAGTCAAAATAAAAGATAGTAGATTCACTACCCAATCAAGCACAAAATGCTGATTTAAAACCAGAAATAACAAAATGAGAATATTTCTATGAAAAGCGTATGTGTATTAAACTTTTAGTCGGTCGCAGTACAATAGTCGAACTTGTATTTTAAAGAAAGAGCTTTCCCTGCTTGGTGCTGCACCAAACAGACAAAACTTGAAGGCAGTTATTTTCTCAAGTGGGCGTCTATTGCACCCACCGAGTCTTTTGTTACCTATCTGCTTTCGGACTGCCCGATCTAGACCTACTAAAATCCTCAGGGCAGTCACTTTTTCTCAAAAACATTTTGGATTTCAATCCACACCAATGAGTTACACACTCTTTTTTAATTTAGACTTAGTGTCGCGAATATCCGAGTTTGGACCTGTTTTGTTTTGGTCTGGTCTTTTTTGAAAGGCAAGTTACCAGTGCAGTCACTGGTTCCTAGCCTGTCTTTTAATAACCTAACACCCCTCACTATTATGTTTTCTTCTGTTTACTTAAGTCCATTATCAAAAATAATAACCCTCCGGGTTGACAAAAAACAGTACCCCTCCGGATTGGCAAAAATAGGACCCCTCCGGATTGGCAAAATTGAGACCCCTCCGGATTGGGACCCCTCCGGTTTTGTGAAAACAAGGTCCCTCCGGATTGGGACCCTCCGAATTAGGAAAAGTTTGGACCCCTCAGGATTGGGATCCCTCCGGTTTTGTAAAAATAGCTTTTCGGAGACTTCCTTGATTTTCAATCTATACCCCTCCGGATACTTTCTTTGATGCTATTATGCTGTTTGTATCAACTAGGAATGGTATGTGGTCGTTCCCTAGACCCTTCCGGATTGAAGTTAAGCCTCTTATTTGACAATTCACACTAACGGTGAAGGGTCTTATCGCCAGCCTAATTTCGGCTCGATCAAGGTTTTTTGGTGCCTTCAGCCTTTCACTATTCTTCTATAACAGCCTAAAACTGCTTTTTTCAACCGTTATCACCTTTTGGTAGGGGTGTAAGCGCTTTCCAAAAAAAATTCTATAAAACGTGAAGGATCTACCCTCCCTAATTGGTGAATTTGCTAAAAACAATCTCAAAAAAATTTCACGCTTATTTTTTCGAATAATTATTGTTCCTATTAGTAAGTTCAGCTAATTTCTGATCTAATGGTACCAAGATCAACTGGATCTGACTAGTCGTTCCAAAGTTATTAACTAAAACGTCTTTTATCTAAATTCAATAATTTTCTCGTTTATAGTTTCCGCCTAGCTTTTTCCGCAATTCTATTCTTTTCGACCTAAAAATTTTTGATCCGAGCTCAGAAGGTTTATACTCTTCTAGTTCAATGCAAAAACCTGATCTAAAATCCTCTAGCTGAAAAAGTTTGCGAAAAACTTTGCTATTTGGACCCCTCCGGATTGATGATTCCACTTAATCAAACACCTTAAGTTCGATTTTTCTGTAACCCGGAAGGTTATCGGCAAACGGTTTTTAAAACCTATCGATTCACTAGTGGACGCTGCCCGAACGACTATTTTTACTGTCCTAACTGAAAAATTTTGAAAAGTTTCCTTATTCTATAGCGTTTCGTTTTTTCAAAAATCACGAAAATTCAGTATTTGGTACCAAACTAGTTCCAACCACTTCTGAACTAAATTCAAATGGTTCTACCTATTATGCGAGCACAGTTTTGATGTAACACACTAATTTAGCGCTTTTTTCTGTTTAAAAAAATCGATATTTCAAAAATCGAGATTTGTGGGGGGACCAAAATATTGCTATTTTGACCCTAAAAACCGGTCCGCTTACTGTGTTTTTCACTGAAAAACGATATGGGAGTATTAATATAGGCTATATAAGAAATAATACTAATACTACTATACCCCTCCGGGTTTGTTCAATATCCGAACTAAGGTGCTGAACTCGGAAATTTAAAGTTCGGTGAAGGGTCACTACAGTGCAGCACTGTCGAGCCCCCCACAGATTACTATCTTATTTTTTGTACCAAAAGGGATACAAAACTTGTTAACGATACCCAACAGTCGACTGTTGTTGTCGTTGAGCCCCTTCTTGAGGCTCCTTGTACTGCTTTCCGGATCAGTCTTCTCCCAAGACCCCTCCGGATTGAGCGCAAACCAGCAGACCCTTCCGGATTGAGCGCAAATTAGCTGACCCTTCCGGATTGAGCGCAAATTAGCATTAACGTGCTTAAATACTCAAGTGAGCGTACAATACAGGCCTCACAAACGAGCCACAAAATTGATCGTAACGATCCTGACTGATATAAATGCCTGTAACAACATTATTTCTATCAACAACAAACGGGGGGGTTGGATCACATCTTGTCTGGGGGGATGATTTCTACTGATTTTTTAAATTTTTTTTTACTGTTTTTGGTTTTTTCGATTATTTTTTATGTTTTTTGTTTTTCTTGGGTACTATACTACTTTTTGTTTGGTTTCTTGTATATCTTTAAGTGTTTTTGGTCACGGACCACTCAGGAAATGACGGTTCCGCGAATCACCCCACCCTTCCTGGTTCGTGAATTTCCGGTCTTAACTATGTGAAAAAGCTATTCACGGTTTTCCTGAAGGCTTCCGCGTTCCGAACTACCCTTCCGCCCGGCGGCTAAGGCCTAATAAGGGCGTTATTATGAGCATCCGCTCGGCGCGGAGTGCTTGTTAACTGTTCTGCCGTTGATGATGTTAAAAAAGAATAACACCCAGGAACGCCATAAACGCTAGGTTCTAAGACGACTGGCCAACGTCTAAACAGAGCTCTACATGCTTTTCACCGTCTCTACCAAAGCCAGTTCTTTTGGTGGTTTTTCTAACATCGGGTCGACAAAAACGTCACTGTTCTCCGGCTTCGACCAGAACGCTCAAATTAACTTGTTTACATGCAAAATTAGTGAGCTCATGGCTGGGTCTCAGTATCCCCAGACCACGAGGTCACTCCTTAAAACAGGGCTACTACTATTTGTTATATTACTATTGTTTTTGTTCAGTAGATAAAAATCATCATCTCCGTCGAAGATGAATCAACCCTTTCCCCCAACTCCTAGCTTCTCTCTTTCCGGAAGGCTGTTTTTCTACCCTTCACCGTTGTTGTGAACGGCTTTGCAACGATTGTAGCGACACAATCGTTGCAACTCGGAGCGGTCTCTGCTAACGCTGCTTTTTCTTCGATTCTGATCTTCGATTTTTTCGTAGTTATCTTCGTCGGAACTATTGTTGTTCTGATTTTCTACTGGTTTTCTTCCAAAATGGCGGTTTCTGCCGTTTCTCAGAAGTGCGACTTCTCAGTTCGAATTTTTAAAATTTCAGAATACCGGAATATCTTGATCTTCACCGTTTGACTAATCGTCCCAATAACGTCACTAGTCTCTCAAAACTGTCAATTCCAAAGGTTAGCTGCTAACTATTCGAAATCGCCGAATCTGCATTTTTGTCCATTTTGGTCGAATGTCACATAAAATATCAAACAATACCGGTGTTAATTCAAAGTTTTATGGCATCAGAGTAGCTAAAAAGTCAATTTTTTATAGTCCTTCATCATATGCTGTCTCTGGGGGCCGAGCCTCCGCTTCCGTTTTTTCCTTGTAACAACGTCGTTATTACTCTCAATTCGTGACACGGGAGGGTACTGCTCAATATTCCTTCGCCACTGAAGCCTCCCTTCTCACTATTTTCTTTTGCTAAGGGTCTTATCGTGCGTGATCGTCACGATAAGAGGCTTCGTTTTTATATCGTTGTCGTCCGACTGTCTCTCACTATTTTCGCTGTTGTTCTGACTTTTTCACCTTTTTCAGTCAATATGGCCGTTTTTTTTGTATTTCTGAGAAATATTCGTTCGACAATCGAAATATTGAAAATTGAAGTTTTTAGAATATTTCTACCCTCCTTCGCAGCACTTTTTCGTCGTTAAGGCCTTTAATCGTTTTTTCGTGTTTCGCCGGAAGGTTGCGCTGTGCCAGTCTGGCAGAATGGCACAACATCGCCCGTGTTTCTTCTTTAAAAAATTTACCGATTGTCCACTAATTTAATCCAATGAAGCAAACTGCTTCAATTTCATAGCAGGATAGCTTGCTTTTAAGTTTTAAATCAAATTTTCCCTCATTAGAAATCTGATTTCGTAAGTTTCATCGCTTGAAATCAACTCAGTTCTTTAAATTGAAATAAACTCAACGGATTGTCGGCTTTGTTAGTAAAGTATAATAAAAAATTTCAAATAGCTTTGCATGTGATTTTGTTATAATGATTACCCGTTCTGTTATATTTGTTTTTGTCTGTGTTCTAAGTCTGTGCTTCGTTGAATTAATTTTCATTCATACGAAGATTCCCTTTAACTTGTCTTTTTTTCTTCAGAAATTAATGCTATTTAGCAGAGTATTGATTCCTAGCCTTGCTTTTTTTCGATTCCTGAGGTGTGTACCTTCTATTATCCCGCAGTCTAATTTTTTGAAATACACAGCTGCAGCTCTAACGGTTCAAAAAATTTGCAAAATGTCAGACAAGCCCTACAGTGAAATGACTGATGCCGATTGGAAAGCAAAAGGTCTTTCAAAAGAAGCTATCGCCGTCACAAGGCATGCTGGAACTGAAAGACCGGGCACTTCGCCACTGTATCAACATAAAGAGAGCGGGGTCTATCACTGCGTGTGCTGTGGTACTCCGCTATTTAAATCCGCTCATAAGTTTGAATCGAGCTGTGGATGGCCGGCGTTTTACGCAGACAGCTTCGACGCCATGATTGAAAAGGTGGATATGTCGCATGGCATGAAACGAGTTGAAGTGCTGTGCAAAACGTGTGGAGCTCATTTAGGCCATAAATTCGACGACGCTATGCATCACAACAAAACGGTTCCAGTTGATACTCGCTACTGCATAAATGGAGTTTCTCTAGAGTTCCAGAAAGCTACTTGAATGTATATACTATGTAATAAACTATTTCAATAGTGAGATTTGAATAAATTAGATTAGGGTGATATAATTTTTATAGTCTCCGGTTTATAGAGGAGATAAACCAGTGTGGTTTCGTGCAATTTGAATGAATTTTTCTGGTAAAATTGACAGTTTTAAGATTACTAGATGGCTGTTTCTCCGGGAAGAAAAACGTCCGACAAGAAAGCCAGACGGCAGTCAAGTTCAGATAGCGGAAGCTCATCTGGTAGCAGTCGCTCCTCCGGGAGTCGCAGCAGTAGTGGATCATCATCCGGATCTAAATCCCCTGAAAAGAAAGAAGTCAGCAAAAATGCCCGAAATGGAACCAGTGATACGATCGCAAAGAAGCGCAAGAGTGACGGATCACCAGATGAAAAACCCAGACAGAAACGAAAGTCTGTGTCACCTCTGCAGACTAAACTACACATCGGAAAACTTACAAAGTAATATCTAGATTGTGAATGGTTTAAGTGGTCTATCACTTATGTAGGTGATTGTTTTTAAAATTGAATCTTAAAAGTTGTCAACCCTCAATTTTGACTTTTACCAGTTTTGATTTTTGTTCCGAGCTTTTGAGAAATGGGGAGGAACTTTGTATTTGGGTGTGTTTTAGTTTTTTTATGCAAAATCAGCTACCCGAAATAATCATCGGAGAGAGTTGAGTGATACATCATATAAAAGATCTTTCAATCTTGATTCGAACGACAAAAAATGTCAATGAAATTTTCCCGGTGTCGAGTAAAACCGGTTTGAATTTTTTTCCGTCCTAATTCGATCGAATAACTTTCGTCTTATTTTAATGGCCTAAGAGCTTTACTCGAGTAAAGTTAGTTTTTTTAAGTATTGTAGCGCCTTTTTAGAATCAAAAATGCAAAAAAAAAATTGAAAAAGTTATAAAAGTTCATTTTACTACAATTTTTACAATTTGCCTATTTTACTCTGACTGTCGAATATGACTAAGCTCTACTTTTTTTTGTTCAGATCATTTTATCACGCCACGCCGAAAATACGATACTAATTTGAAAAAAAATGTATTTGTTTAAGGCTGTGCTCGTGTTGAGTTTAATTCAAATTTTTTGTAGGTAAAATTAAGACATAGCGTGTGGCTCGTTAAATACAAAATTGTTCTCCGAGATTCGAAAGTTGAAAAATTTTACAAAAAAACGTCTGTTTGTTCAGTTTTCAGCTTCCTCTTCAGGAGACATTCCATCAATATTAATAATGATATGCTGACCCATCTTTTTTAAGGAGAGCGTACGGCATCTTCGGGATTTTTTTTTGGAAATCATCAGCTTTCGGGATTGTTTTTTTCCCGGTTAATTCCATTCTTGCTTGTTGCTTGTGCACTTCTTTATTATTATTATTATTATTATTATTATGATTTTATGGATATGCCACTGGAGTGTTCTTTAGTACATGAACCTCCGTACCTTCTTCACCGCAATCAGGGAAGTCAGGTAATTCTATCTTACCCATTCTGTGTAGCTTGGCAGAACTGTGACGAAGCCCCTTCTCTTAATTGATTATCAGTAACAGTGTCATTTTTTTTTTTTTTCTGATTCAGCTCATATTACAATTTATATTGTACTTCTCGTTTTTGCTCTTCTAACTGTTGATTTGGCTAATTTGAGCGTAATTAGTGCCTCCGACCGATTCAAATTGCTAGCTTCGCCTGCATATTTATCGGCTCGTTCATTTCTTTCTCTACTTCAGTGGATTGGAATCCTCATAATAGTCACTTTCTTGGTCTAGCTATCACCAAATATGGATTAGAGTGGTTGCATCTTGGCGAGCAAAGCCACTCTTGAGAGCACTAACAAGAAAGTGAGTCAAGTCAGTACAAAGAATTATTGATTTTTTATGATGTTGTAGCAGCTAAACGCAACGCCATCGTCTGCGGGATTTTGTGGTGCTAGCTTCGTTTTGAGTTGATTATTGGTTGCCATCGGTTTTCAGTACTTCATCTTCGTTGGAGACGAAGGTTGATTGGGTTTGTTTTCGCTTTGAGGCGGTACACCTTTCCAATAGCTTTGAAGGTTTGAGATAATTTTTAACCTAATTGTGATGGATAACATTTCGATAGTTTTTACGACCTTTTCAGTCCTCATCCAGATTGTGGATTTTAACACCGTAGGTTTCAATGTGTGGTTTAACTCAGTGTGGTTTCAATGTGTTGTCCAACCTGATGTTGGGTTGTCTGATAGTCGGAACGGTGACTCTGTTGGCATTCGACTAGAATATATGTGTGGGTCTTTACCGGCTTCAGTTTGCCTGTGAAGGTCATCAATATTTGACATCTTCACACAAACAGTAATTGTTCTGAGGACTATGTTTTGTCGAATTTCGAGGTTGTTCCAGTTTGTATTGCTTTGTGATGGAGCCCAGATTGGTGCTCCATAGTTAAGCCTACTGCGTCCGATGGCCTTGTATGTCAGTGTTACTTTGGAACAACCCCAGTTAATGCCAGACAACCTTTTAATGACATTATTCAGCTTTTGTAATTTAACAGTGGTGGTTCTGATGTGTTCATTGAAACTAATTAGGCCGTCAAAGACCACGCCCAGCAGTTTGGGTCTTGTTGGGTCTTGACTCAAGCTGAATTAGAATTCTGTGTACTTCAAGCTGAAGATGACTTGTCGGCGGAGAGATGGAAACTTCTATTCGTGAGCCAGCTGTCCAGCTCTCCTAGGTTTGATGTGATTTGGCTCTAAAGCTCATCTACCTTCGAATTTGAAGTCTATCAGAATTACGTCAACAGCATATGTAACAATCGAAACTCGATCTGGCGGCCGGGAAGCTTGCCCATGTAGATAGTGAAGTGCGTTGGTGATAATATTCCTTCTGGTGCTCCTTGTTTGAATTGTTTTGACGTTTTAGTCCGATACTCAACATAAGTGAGCCGACCCTGTAAGTATGAAGTTATCCAGCCTTTGGTACTGTTGGGCACATCCGCTTCCAAAACATCCTTTAGTAGTAGATTGTTATTAGTTATGATGTTGTAGTTGAATGTTTGGCTCTGAAGCGATGTTGGTGTTCTGCTAGTGGGAAATGCCAAAAGTCATTAAGCAGCAGCCTTTCGATCACCTTAGTAATTGGGGAGAGTAGTGCGATCGGTCGGATACTTTGGGACTGGTTTACCTGGATTTTGCAGCGGAACTTTCCACACTTTCTCATGATCATTATCCAGCCGCGGTGATGGTTTTCGTCTCGATGGAGTAAGTCTACTATTGCGTCAAGATTGGATTTTATTTTTGAGCTTTTCTAGCGAAATAAAAATTATCTTTTCAGTTTTTGCAATTTGGGTTTGTAAGATTTTTTCTTTTGAGCATCATCATCATTGCCGCTTTATCCCCTTCACACGGGGTCGGCGGGGCGTTCCTGAATCTTCGAGCGCCAGAATTTGCGGTTGTGTGCGTCGGCTTCTGCCAGTCCTCGACTTTCATTTGCTTCTTTGTTTTTCTTTTCGGACTAAAATTGATTTTTTGATGTCTGGAGAAACAAAGCGTGAAATCTGAAGTAATTAGCCTCCGGATCAGGCCTGTGGCTGGTTAACAAACAAAGTTGAACAGAATCTGAAAGCTGGAACAGAATATTTCAGCCGGTGCTCGAATATTAGCACTCCACGACAAGTTATTCACAACAGCCCCACTGCCTTCTTCTTCCGTGACAACTCCGACGGGGCTCTAACCAGGTTTTCTGTCTGTCATGGAGTTCTCTGGGAAAGTCATCAAGGATACTCCCAACTTCGTGTTCCTCCTTCTCCAGGAGCCTCGAAAACATCTCGCAGTGTCTGGAGCTGCTTTCAACTCTAAGTTATTCCTCACAGCAAACTCGTGCTCTCTGCTTTTCAGTCTCTGCGTTGTATGTGTCTTTGCACTCTCCATAACTGGCGTATCCTCCCGTATCCTCTCCTCTTGGCGAAGTTATCTGGCGCGTAGGCGTTATTCAGCCTGTAATCATGCGAGCAAAAGCATTCAGCATTGAATCAGGTTTTTTTCAGTGGTAGAGATAAAGTTCAGCCAGACCGAGCAACCATAGTCTGCAATGACTCGAACTGTGGCTATTTATGCCGTCCTCGTCACCTTCTTATTGGACCCTTTCGTTTTTTTTCAGCAAGAATGCTAATACTTCGGGTTCTCGCGGTCATCTTCACTGCCGTTGCATGACAGGCGAAGCTCAGCTGACTCTCCATCTCCAGCTCAAGGAATCTGGGATTTTTCTCGTAGTTCAGATAAATCCTTGCAATTGAAAGCTGAACTGTGGCTTTAGCTTTGCTCTCGCGCAGATACAGGGTAATGACCTTATAGGAGCTCTTATCGCTCTTAACCACCTTCCACTTTCGACTCCAGGCTGTAACAGCGTCCAGTGCTACTGGATTGTGCGTATGTAGCAATCGCTGCAGTATCGTCAGCATAACGACTGAGCCCAGCATTAGGTGTATTCTCTGAGACTTCGTCAATTTCGTTGTAGAAATAGAGACGGAGCAAAGTAACAAGGACTGATCGCTGCGGCAATCCTGTCACAAAAACTCGACTACAGCTCGAAGTCTTATTTGTCTCTTCTGTTACAAAGAAATGCTCGAATCCATCTGATGAAATGCATGGGAACTCCCATCTTGTCTAGTTAACGCATCAAGCCATCCTTCCATTTTTAAAACGATTTGCTGTAATTTTCCAACTCTCTTGTCTATGTTTGATTACGTTTGTTCGCGTTCTCTGGAAAGTTATGAGCAATTTGTAAAATGTGGGTTCTATGGCGGTTATTTAACACCAGACAAATGCTAGGCATAAGTTAACATCTTTCAGAGAGCTTTTTCTTTCAAATAAGCGAAAATTGGTATTTTTGTCCCGACCATTTGAAAAATGGGGGAGAACTTTGTATTCGTGTGTTAGTTTTTTTTTCACGCAAATTTAGCTACCACAGATAATCATCGGAGAGAGTAAGTGATATAAAATTTTAAAGCCCATACAGTCGTGATTCGAGCGACATTAAAAAATTTCCAGTGTCGAGAAAAACCGGATTGAAATTTTTGGTTTTTCGTCTTAATTCGAGCAAAAAAAACCGAGCGAACAGGCTTACAATCACTTATTTTAAGGACTTAAAAGCTTACAATAGCTTAGTTTAAAGCGTAAAAATTTAGTTTAGTTCCGAGTTACGTTAGTTTTATTGATATTGGCGCCTTTTTAGAATCAAAAAATTGTTTTTGATTTTATCGTTTTTCTAGTCATTTTTTTCTATTAATGTCAAATTTGCCTAATCTCTAATTTTGTCGGAAGACTATGGTCGGAACATTCTGTGCTGCTTCCACAGTAACCGGCTATATTTGTTGTTATTTGCATTTTGCGGCGTGAATTTTGTATGAGTAGTTGTATAATATAAACAAAAAAATTTTACGCAGTTTTCAATAGATGAGCGTTTTAGAAACATCAACAAGGAGCACATTAACGAAATATTTGGCGTCTACGGCAAACTGAAAAACGTGGACATGAGTCGTGATTCTGTTCATGTTCACCTACACAAGGGCTACTGCTATGTCGAATTTGAATCAGGCGAAGACGCAGCCGAGGCCAAAAAGTTCATGGACGGGGGACAAGTTGACGGCCAGGAAATCACTGTGCAGTACGTTCTCACAAATGCTCCCAGAGGCAATGCGGCTAGAAAGCACTCGCCGCCAAAGGGTGGGGGCAGAGGTCCTCCAAGGGGCGGAGCTTCGCCTTCAAGACGCCAGAGATCACCCTCTCCCAGAAGAAGGGGAGGACCTCCTGCTAGAAGGGCGTCGCCAGAAAGAAAGACTAACAAAAGGCGCGGGCGGTCTAGCAGCTCATCCGCCTCCGACTAATTATGAAATATGGAAAATGATTGTGTCCTTTTTCTTAAGATATTTTGTTTGTGATTGAAGTTATATGTTTTCTTGTTGGCATTTTTCGAGTAAAACGTTTTTGCTTATTAGCCATCAAAAATTATGTTTTCTGCTTTCATAGTTTTGTTTCGTATTGTCATATCATTGCATTTTTCATTATCAAAACCCGCCTGTTCCGCCTGCTTAAGTAGTTTACGATAAGGCTAGTTTTGGCAACATGAGTTATCAAGAAAATGCAGTAGCGCCGTATTCGTCAAAGTTCATTGAATGTTGCTTACAATACTTACAATCTTACAATACTTTGCGCCGTGGTCCACTTAAAATTTTAATGCAATGAATTTTGTCTATTTTAGGGATTTTGCCCACGCTTAAGGCGAAATCGTTAGAAAAGGCATAAATTTTTTAAGACAACTTTGGCGCAAAGTATTGCAAGATTGTTTTTAGAAAAACTGATTTGAAGTAACATTCAATGAGCTCTGATCGAGTTTCATCCCGAATGACATGTTTGCAACTCGTGGTTTTTTCGTGCAGTAAAGCATCTTACTTAAAACACCGTAATGATGCGTCAGTAGTAGAATTAGGGCTGCGCATGTAGAAAATGGGAAGACATTTTGAGTCAAATCGATTGATCAGTTCCCATTTACACCCTGTTCAATGTTTTCTTTTGGGATCTCTGTGGATAAATTTTACAGGAGGCTTTTATCTTTTATCCCCTGGATAATTTGAAAAGTGGGACTGATTCGTTCGTTATCTCTAAGATTATTTTAGACTAAGACTTCAATATAACAAACAAATCAATTGAGTATAATTATACTCTCTCGAATTATTATTATCAATTGGTTTATTCATTTGTCTAATACTGAAATATCGGAGGTCAAAAGTAGTGTTGATATGCAGACACAAAATGAAAAATTCCAAAATCCATTTCAAATCTCAATCTTTGATAGATCGGTCAAAGTTTTTTAAGTAATAAAGTTTATGTTCTATTTAATCCTTTCTTTGGGATCAACCGTACAATTCCCCAAATCGATTTAAGGGGAGAAAAAATGGATTTTTTTATAAGCTAACTTTGAGTATAGCCTAGATTCGTTCAAAATTAACCGTATTACTGAAAATTCCTAAAGCTAATTCATAAACTTTTAAAAAACTACAAGAATTGATTTGCTCCAATTATCTAAAAACTAACATTGCGAAGTTTCAAATGTCTCAGTTTTACAGCTAACCACTAATAAAACTACTGACTTAATATTGTAACGCGGAGAAAAGTGATGTGGTTAAATATTGTGGGTCTAGGGATTTTAGCAGACCGGGTTTTTTTGGCAGACTCAGAACAATTATAAAGTGTGATAGCTAACTGCAAATGCAGCGTTGGCGATTAGCGACCGCTTGCTCCGCTGCGGTTCAATTCAACATGAGTGTTATTGTGCGCGTAACTCTTTGTTTCGCCGCAAATTTAGACTGCTGTTTTTTTTGAAGTTGATAGTTTTGTTGACAAATCGTGAGATAATTGACTTAACTGGGGAAGCTTGGCCCCAGACTGAGCGTCTTTTTGAGTCTGTCAATCAATCATCCATTACTTTATTACGTTGTTCTGCTAAAAGACTCATTTTTCACTTTTTATGCTAAAAGATTGGTCTACTAAACGATCGGTTTGCAAATATTGTGATGTTAATATCTATAAGTTGTTCAAATGTGTAGCTAGTCACCTAATTAGTCTACGAATCTAGAATCTAATTACTTCCCACAGAGAAAAGTAGCGCAATTTCGAATCGTGCCAGCTCATTTAAAAAACTTCGGTATTTCTGCTTTGGAGAATTGTTCAGCAGTTATGTTTGGTGTACTCGCCTTGATACCATTTAAGTTATTTGCGTACTATCATAAAAATGAAATGTTTTTGAACACAATGCAACCATTTTTTTGCATCATTCCTGTTGTGACTTACACAATTTCTTCTTGGGACGGTGTAATCGAATTAGCTTCGAAATTATTTGGCAACGTTAGCTCGTTCCGATATTCCACTAGATATTTTTTCGAAATCTTAAGATGATGAATAAAAAATGAAAATAATATTAAAATACGTCTTGCAAGCAAATGAAAGACCCACTTCAGAAATTTGCTCTTTTTTGTTTTTTGAGCTAAATTCGGGAGGTGGAAAGTATTATTGGAATAACGACCAAAAATTTGCAGAAAAACACATAAAAACCTAATAAACTACAAAATAAAATGGCTAGTACAGAATTGAAAATAATGGAAAATGGTGACTCGAAAATGAAACAACATAATGAATAATTACCAAAGTTTTTTGTGTTTGTCCAAAATGATTGAGAGAAGTTGATTATATTGTTGATCTGAAGACAAAACTTGAAATAAATCTGCAAAATTCATTTCAAATCTCAAATAAAAAACTTGAAGAATTGATATGCTCCAATTATGTGAAAGGTAAAAAGGGAATTGATAGGTTTTGTGTCCTTAATTTTTTTTGCTCAGCTTAATAACTAATCTGCTAATCAGTCCACGGATTAACTTATGTCCCGCGAAGAAAAGTGATGTGAAATGTATATTGTGCTATTAATCTTTAAAATTTATCTGATTGTAAGCTAAGCTCCGATTCAGCTTACGGATCTAAGTCCATCCTGACGAGAAAAGAAGATGCGCTATGAATTTTTTTTTATTTGGCAGATGTTTTTCCAGCCGAGTTGCTGCAAATGTATTTTAAATTGAAAAAATAGCTGTATTAAATCATTATGAGAATGAAAACACGTTTCCTTAATGTTAAACAAAGGGCCAGCTAAAGCTAAAAGTTTCTGTTCATTTTTTTTGAAATTTGTTGTACTGATGAGGGGTGGAATGGGTAATTTCAAAATGAAAAAAATTGGGCTTCATTCAAATTCTTGGTTGGTTCTCTAAAAAAATAAGTAGAAGTGAAGTTTTTTTCAAGTTGCCGAAGGTCATCTAACTCTTTTTCAAATTTCAAAGCGTAGCTGTTCTTGCCTGGATGTTTTACACAATCTGTTGCCTCGATTTAACCCTTGATATTAGTTTGATGAAGATCAAAAGTTCAAAAAACGGCTAGAAAACAAAACATTTACGTTTCTGAGGTCCAATACTTTTTTAAGAAACTTATGACGTAGCTGCTTATACAGGTTAGCTTGCCTCAACCTTTATATTTTTAGACCAAAATCTCATTAGGGATAGCAGTTTCTGAGAAAAGTGAAAAAGTACTGAAAAATGTCAAAAAATCAAAATTCTGACTTTTCGGAAAGGTATATCTTTTTTATCTTTTTTATAGGTATAGAAAATTTGCTGTGGAGCTTCGCTTCTCACAACCAGTTCTCTCCATTGAATCAAAAATGTCAGCAAGGTAGTTTTTTGAGAAAAGAATGGAATATTTCAAAAACGGGCAAAAAGTCAAAAAAAGTTGAGGGCCATAACAATTAGTGGAAAAAAATTGCGTTTGGCCTTTTGTCTGAACTTCAGGCGACCTGTTTTTTTCCCTTCAAACCAAAGTGTCAAACTTGGGAGGTAGTTTTGGGAAAAATTAGTTAAAAAACGATCAGAAATTCAAAATTATGACTTTTCGAAGACAAGAGTTTTCTGTGTAGATTTTTGGCATAGCCGCTAATGCTTCGCACAACCCGTTCTCTCCATTGAATTAGGGTAGTTTTCGGACAAAATCAATAGTTTGAAGAAACGGTCAAAAATCAAAATTTTTTTCCGAGGACCTCAGCTCTTTGAATAAAAAAACTTCGTCAGAGCCAATTAGGCTGGGGAGCATTACAAAACCTGTATTGAACCAAAATTTTAGACTTGGGAGGTTAGTTTGCGAGAAAAATCAAACTTTTTGTTTAAGGAAATTGGTCGTAGCCGCTTATGCAAGGGAGCTTCCCATAATCCGTCCTTTTGATTCGAATTAAGTCTCAGATTTGGGTTGTTGGGTTGCGAGGGCCATAATCTTTTCTGTAAAACATTTGCGCGTAGGTGCTAATGCAGGGAAATGTCTCACAACCAATTCTCTATCTCAGTTTTGGGAATGTAGTTTTCAAGAAAATGAATTAATCAAACAGGAATTAATCAAAATGTTAACTAGAAAAAGATGGTTGACAATCTAAAAATATATTAATGGATTGTTGGAGATTTTCTGATATTCAGAGCAGGAGCGGATCTAGTGGGGGGCGGATTTTCAAATAAATTTCGAAAATTTTGTCGGTTTTTTTTAGGTTGGCCAAATTGGTTTTTTGAGCTCTCCCAAATCACTATGAAAATTTTGAAAAAAAAACAAGGCCAAAAAGACCGTTTTTAGGCACTTCTTAGAAAATTTTGACCAAAAAATTGCGTTAGTATATTTTAGAAAAATTTTAGGGTCAGTCAGCCAAAAAATGATATCTCAAAATAGTACAAAGGGGGGACACTTTGGGTCGGCATGGGGGGGGGGGGGGGGGACGTCCCCCCATAAATCCACCCCTGATTCAGAGGATCTTAGTGAATTCCATCTGCTCACGTTTTGCTCAGTTTTTTTGTTGAGGCATAGGTTATCACTTATTCGTGATTTTTCTCTATAATTCCTCAGTTCGTCTTATCGAGTTTTGTCAGCTCTTATAAAAAATTTTGGTATTTCTGCTTCGATCCCATTTTAATTATTTGCTAAATATTTTTGATGAACAGGAGACAAATATTTTAAATATCTGAGCTCTTCCTTGAACAGACTTGTAGATATCTGGTTATTCTGGTTATAACTGACTTATTACCTTCGTGGAAAAACCCTCGTCTAAAAACTAAATTTTAGGATGTTCATCAGAAAATGATAATGATTATGCAAAAGAAGAACAACACAAAAAGACTATCATCAAAGTTAAGCTTATTTTTTTGTTTAAGAAATATAGTCGTGAGGTGGAAAGTAGTGTTGATAAACGACCAAAAACATGAATGAATCTGCTGCAAAAATAACAAAAGTTGAAAAATCTCAATGGCTAGTAGAGAACCGACAATTATAGAGAAAGATTAATCAAAAAATGAAACAATGAATAAGTTTTTCTCTTCGTTTGAACCTTAATTAGTTTGAGAAGTCGCTTAAGACAACACTTGAAAAAATAGCAATAAAAATTGAAATAAAGATAATAAAAATGTCAAAGAAGACGGGAAAAAGTAAAAAAAAAATTGAATTTTCAACATGAATCCTTGCTGTTTTCTGGTTTTTTGAGGAATTTCTGACCGGTGGAGGATTTCTGTGAGAGATCTCTCAAAGTGTTAAATATTTTTCCCTCTAAGGAATTGATTCAGTGGTTAAACCATTACAATTAAGGAATTGAATGAAGTGAAAAAATTTTCAGAAAACTTTATTATACGTACAACGTAAAAACGTTGATTATACGGATAAACTTTGGGAATTTACTTATACGTATAACGTGAATTTGATTAAAACTATTCTAGTCATCCCGTGAAATCTTTTAAGAAAGTTTATTTTTTTATGGTCGACTTTAAAAATAAATTTAGATTGTAGAGATTATTTAACGCATCATATTGTTCATTTTTTCGATATTTTGTGCATTTTGCACTGCCACTTGTAACAGTGCAACCTAACAAAGGTAAGAAACACCTTAATTTGTGTGTGTTGAAAAGTTTTTGACTTATCTTTTTCAGTAATTTTTTTAAAACTTAGACTGATTACAAAAATACATTGAAAATAGTTCATTCATTCGATCAAGTTGCTTACAAAACTGAATGTTATTTATATAGTTGCATCATCTTAACTGTTAAGTGAAATTTGCATCGGCGGCGCACCACTGCTTTTAGTTGCTCAGATCGATGGATCTAGTACAACTAGGCTTCCTGGATTAATTACATGAAGTTTTTTTTCTGAGGGTCCTTTACTTTCTGTGAATTGTTGTCAAGTTTAATATCAGACAATTAGTAAGATCAATGTAAATACATTTAAGTGTGCAATGAGTACTAATTTTATTGATTGTTCGGAGCAAGAACAAGCCCGTGAAATTCGAGAGTTCCTCAAATCTCTAGGAGCTGAGATCGAAGTATCCGACAATTCTGCTGACGTTAATGACATCGTCAACACTTGTAATGTCGTCTGGAAATTGGACAATTCCATTGATATCGAGTCAGTTATAAACAGTGTGGTGTCTTTGCTGCTCTTGTTGCCGGAGGAACTCCTGAAGCCGAAGATTGACGAGTTTTGTGGAATCGTAGTTCGAGATGCTACTGAAACAAAAAAACTGTCTCTTTGCTTGAAGGTTTTGATTGGCCTATTCCATGCCTTAAGTGAACACAGTGCTTTGAGATATCCAGTTTATATGTCGATGTTGACTTGTGCCAAAGGCACCGGGCAGTTGCAAATGGTGGTGACTGATTTGGTCACTCTGAAACTTTGGAGGGACTTCTGGAAGTTGACGGACGAGAACTGGCAAGCACTTCTCAGGTAACAAATCTTATTTTATCACTAGAAGCTCAATAATGTAACTAAAATTGAAATCTTAATTTGGTAGAACAAATATTTCTATCTTGCCTATTACTGTCCTAGCCTAGAGTCCAATACCGCTTTTTTTCAATATCAATGAACATAGTTTTCTCAAGGGGGTATGATATAAAAGCCTCTGTAGCCGTGATTCGGGGTTCCAAAGAGAATGAAAGTTTTGTCTCAGTATCGAAAAAACCGAATCTGAATTTTTCCGTTTCGAAAAAACCTGGTCCGTTTTTCACAAAAAATAACACAAAACTTAACGACGAAAGTGCACTCTTAATTCAATTTCTTAATGAACTTTTCCACTAGATTTGCTTTTTGCCTCATTGTTACCCGCGTTTTTGCATTTTTTAAGTTTAAGTCAATAGCTTTTCACTGATTAAAAACACGGAAAATTTTCGAATATCTCGTCTTCAAAAGTTGTTGTCGGAACATTCTGTGCTAGTTGCAGAGCTGCCGACTATCCTTAAATCATCTCGTGTTGAACTTTTTCTTGATCACAATTTTCTTACTAGGATTAGAGATATTCAGTTTAAGCATCATCAGATCCATTTCCAAGTGTTTCATGTTATCCACTTTCAGTGACTTCGCCTAAGTTTATTTGAACTGCTCAAATAGATTGACCTCAAGTTGTTACGTATTGACAATTTTAAAAAAACATAGAGAGCGCGTATTCGCAAATCATAATAAATGAAATGAAATTTCAGCTATATAGGTTGTGTGACTTCCTTCAGGAAAATTCCTGGAATCTGGTAAAGTTCTTTTTATATTTTGGGGATTTGACTGTGATTTCATTGAGGATTCGCGAAAAATGGATATCTATCCAAAATTCGCGAATCCGCGAATATATATACATTTTTTTCACTCCACTTAGAATTTTGGATTAAAATAGTTTTTTGTTCCAAAACATTTAATGGCCATTTCCATTTTTCTAATTGGAAATAAATATCTTAACAAGGAGAATTGCGATGTTCAATGAAAAAGTGGAGCTGAAACAGAAAACAACTTCCTTTCAAAAAATGCTTTTATTTTTTTTTACTATTTCAGCCATTGGCGTGCGCAGAGTTTTTTCTGGGGGAGATGAAGCGGTTTTTTGAAAAAACAAATTGAAAATTTTATCGATTTTTTTTTAGGTCGACCAGTTTGATTTTCCGAGCTCTCCGAAAATAATATAAGGACCCTAATTTGTCAAAAAGGTTCTGTGCCGCAGGCGTTTTTGAAAAAAAATAGGCTTAAAATGACGTTTTTGAGCTTTTTGTGATGACGTTTTGAGCGTTTTTTTGGCGAGCTTTCTCCCCTCCAATTTAGGTTTTGGCCGGCCAAAAATGGATCTCGTAACATTGTCTCAACGGGAACCCTTTAGAAAAATTTGGCAACCAGAATTGAGGAATGCTACTGCTTTCAGCTAAGTAAAAAATTACCGGTTGATCCATTGTTGCGAGAACTATATCAATTGTGCGAAGAGACTTAGAAAGTTCCAAAAGTTTCATTTTCTAAAAAAATAAATATTGATCGTGCTAAACATGTGCGCGTTAACTTTTCGCTAACGTAAAAACACCAAAACATAACCAACAAGCAGTTGGAACATTGTCAATAGCTCAGAAACTGAAAAACTAGGTTGATGATTTTATTAAAAGCTTTCAAACATAGAATTTCAGGCTCATTTACGACAAAAAAATTAAACAATGTTTGAAAGCTTTGGATAAAATCATCAATCTAGTTTTTCAGTTTCTGAGCTATTGACAATGTTCCAACTGCTTGTTGGTTATGTTTTGGTGTTTTTACGTTAGCGAAAGTGTTCACTAGATTGGTGGCACTGTTGCTTTAATCACTATCTACCATTGAAAATTTCATAGAATCTGTTCTCTGCTTTGTTTGTAGCTAGTGTTTGTAATGTATTAAGTGTGCGTGTATGAGTGGTTATTGCGTGAGACTCATAATCTCTAAATCGCAACAGGTCGCAAGATCGAATCCGAGAGCTGTCCGAGTTGTAACTTATTCGAGGCTTATTTCTACTTCTTATTATTGCATTTTATAGAGCTGCTGTTTGTCGTGTTCTCACTGGTGCTGGCGAAGCGAAGTTTTGCCTCTGTGTAAATGATAAACTACTTCTTTTTTAGAATCACTGAACGTCGTGAAACTCTGTATTGAGGTCCTTTGGTTTTTCGTTTTTTGTTTCTGGATCAATCTCAAATTTGATCTTTCGTGCTGTGACCTTTCATGTTTTCAAATTAAAATTCAAATTGATTTGATAAAAGGAAAGCGAATTAAGCTCTCCATTTACGAAAGCGAAGTTGGCATTAAAATTAATGGATTTTAGCTTCGAAAGCGGACTTTAATTATGAGGCTTCCCAGGAGAATATTAAATCACCTTAACCTAGCTTTCTTTAATTGGGTTAGTTTTAATTTTTTAAAAAAAGTAGTTGGAAGAGCTTCAATGAGGATAAATTTATACTTCGAAAGTTGAAGAATGTTCAAGAAGTATAAAATTCTTTTTTCGGTTTCCTTGAGCTCATAGACGCTTCCTAACTTTGTCGGCTGTTTATTGTTGTTTCGAAAAAGTCAGATCACTGTTACATTTTTACCTGGTATGTCTCAGTTCAGCTGGAAAGCATTTGCATTCTTTCATTTTGAGGCAGATATTTTTAGGTTGCAACCAGTGGTTCCAGGTAAAAAAAGACGTCAAGATAGTGTAATGACTGGACAATAAAAAAAATTTATGTTGAAGTAGATTTGAACCAAACATTCCTGTTCAATGCATTGGGTCTCAAGCTGAAAGCCTTAGACATTTTTTTTCCAATTATTGACACTGAATTTTTTTCTTAGCTTAAAAGAGTTTTTGCACGAGCCGCTAGCTTTTTACAAAAGAAGAGGAAAATTCTGCCACAAACATAAAACGGTTTCATTTGATTAATAGGTAACTTCTCAAATGGCATAATTCCCAAATGGCATAAAAATGACATTTTTTACCAAATGCCATAAAATTTTTCGTAGCAATTGAACGTATTCTATCGATATCTGATTCTAACATTTTACAGGAACGAAAACATGTGAGCGAGGTTTGGAATTAGTTCCTAACAAACAACATTTGAATTGACAATTTGACTAAATTTCACACATTTTGTAGAAAAGTTTTTCTCCATTTTTTTAAATGCAACTGTTGTTTGAAATTTATGCCCTTTGGTAAATTTTCATTTTTTTTTCATTTGGGAATTATTCCATTTGTGACGTAATCGGTTAATACTTTTGTGCCAACTCGGGAAGACTGTGGGTTTTCGGGAAGAAGTTTTTTTTTCTAATTTGATGAAGCTGGACTGTATTTTTTGCGTTTTGCGGTATGACATTTATTTTTTTTGAATTTAAATTTATTTTTTGCTAAATATAAGTCAAATTTCGTTTTACAAATACAAACGTGCAAACGTGAATGACTTAGTGAGTTCTATGTGGTAATCAAAGCTCATAATCTGGGAAATCTGCCACAAACATAAAACGGTTTCATTTGATTAATACGGTAACTTCTCAAATGGCATAATTACCAAATGGCATAAAAATGACATTTTTTACCAAATGCCATAAAATTTTTCTTAGCAATTGAACGTATTCTATCGATATCTGATTCTAACATTTTACAGGAACGAAAACATGTGAGCGAGGTTTGGAATTAGTTCCTAACAAACAACATTTGAATTGACATTTTGACTAAATTTCACACATTTTGTCGAAAAGTTTTTCTCCATTTTTTTCAATGCAACTGTTGTTTGAAATTTATGCCACTTGGTAAACTTTCATTTTTTTTTCATTTGTAAATTATTCCATTTGTGACGTAATCGGTTACTACTTTTGTGCCAACTCGGGAAGACTGTGGGTTTTCGGGAAGAAGTTTTTTCTAATTTGATGAAGCTGGACTGTTTTTTTTTGCGTTTTGCGGTATGACATTTATTTTTTTTGAATTTAAATTTATTTTTTGCTAAATATAAGACAAATTTCGTTTTACAAATACAAACGTGCAAACGTGAATGACTTAGTGAGTTCTATGTGGTAATCAAAGCTCATAATCTGGGAAATCAGTCGCATAATAATTAATAACGCAATTGCATCAACTTCCAAAATATAGCAGACTATGAAGTCGACTACAGTGATGATTTAATTTATCCGGATAAAACGCATAAACTTGAAAAACGAAACGCAATCTAAAGTTTTTAGGTTTAAAATGATGATAAAACTTGCTTAAAATTCACCTACAATTTGTTTTGCAAAATTAGTTTTGAGTTTAAGTACAACTTGTTTTGCAAAATTCGGGCTCAAAGTTTTACCCCCAAAAATTGATCATTTTCGGCTTTTTAGGCAATTGAAAATTACGCCAAAACTGCTCTGTCACTCCTTGAGATGTTTATTTCTAACTGAGCCTTTTATAGACCAGCTAATTTTAAGAAGGCTATACTCTTAAAACATTGCATAAATTAATCTAGTGTTGTTTGATAGAAAAAAAGGTAGTTTTTGCTATATAAAATTTGATATAAAACGCTCTCCTATACTCTTCCTAAAGTTTGTTTGGCTACGTAAGAGGCTCACTTTGATATAATTTTGTCATTAAAAAACTAGGTAGTTTTGGCGTAACTTTTGATTGACTGAGAAGCCAAACTTGATCAATTTTTGGGGTAGAACTTGGGCCCGAGTTTCACAAACCAAAATGTAGCGTTATAATTCTGCTGAATTTCTAAGCAAGTTTTATCCTGCTTATTTTTTCCTGAAGTCAACCCAGTTTGAGAAGAACGCGTTTCAAAATTCAAGGTTCATGCCTTTTCCGGATAATTTAAATCAGCACAGTATTCGTTAGCAAACTGAAAGCTGTTTGCGTAAATGACTTCCGTAAAACCTTTCAAATCGGTTTCTTTGACCGCTGAGGATTAGCCACATAAAGGTATCGAGGGTTAAAACGATATTGGCTGGCTTTATAT